CATGTTGAGATGGTTTCATTGCTGCTTGGGAGGTCTGTGAAAACCTCCTTGAGTTTATAGTTTCTTATTTCTTTATTTACAGTCCAATAACCAGAACCAGAGAGCTGTAGCTTCCTCATATTTCCTGTAAGAACAAGTTCGAGACCTGTCGCTGTAGCTCATAGCGGCTGTGTGCTACGTCCCCTCAAGTCCAGCAATCTGTAGTGGATCCATTAGAGGGACTCTGGTGGACTGGGAGCTCCCAGTGAAAGCAGGTCCAGGACCGGGACTGAGGAGCAGCATCTGATGCTGACAGAGGATAGTTTGACTGCAGGGAATTAAAGGACTGGAGGTTGGTTTAGCAGTCAGCTAACGTAGCTGCACAGAGGGTTTTATTTTTTTTTTTTTTTAGACACAAGTGTAGAAAGGGAGAGATAATATTTAATATCTGCTGATACAGAGTCCGAGTGTGTGTGTGTGTGGTGTCTGTGTGTGGTGTGTGTGTGTGTGTGTGTGTGTGTGTTCTCTGTGTGTGGTGTGTGTCTTGTGGTGTGTTGTGTGTCTGTGTAATGTTTTGTGTGTGTGTCTGCATTAGAGGGTGGTGACACAGAATGTATCATTGAATGCTGAGTCAGTCCTCATGGTTCTCATATATTGTCGGGTGTGTGTTACTAATTATTTCCTGTTAAGGTCAACCACACACACTCTCTCACACACACACACACACACCTACACACACACCACACACACCACACACACCACACACACACACACTCACAGTCTGTTTCTCATTAACAGCTGTAAGTGTCTCTTGCCAGTTCCTTTAATTAGAGGTTGGTATGTTATTTCTAAAGCAGCTTGTAAACAGAATATAAAATTCATATGTTCTTTTCTGTTCTCTCACTGTTCTTCTCCACTGTTCTCCTCATTGTTCTCTCACTGTTCTCTCACTGTTCTCTCATTGTTCTCTCACTGTTCTTCTCACTGTTGACTGTTCTCTCCACTTTCCTCTCACTGTTCTCTCACTGTTCTGACTGTTCTCTCACTGTTCTCTCACTTTCTCTCATTGTTCTCTCACTTGTTCTCTCACTGGTTCTGGACGTTCTCTCACTGTTCTCTCACTGTTCTCCACTGTTTCTGACTGTTCTCTCAACTGTTCTCTCACTGTTCTCTCATTGTTCTCTCACTTTCTGACTGTTCTGCTCACTGTTCTCTCACTGTTCTCTCACTGTTCTGACTGTTCTCTCACTGTTCTCTCACTGTCTCTCATTGTTCTGATGTTCTCTTCATTGTTCTTCTCACTGTTCTCTCCACTGTTCTCTTAACGTTCTCCTCCTCTCTCTTCAGGCCAGCTGATTTCTGATGAACATCTCTGAGATTTTTACCCGGTTTGACAAAAAATACATCCACCCCGTACGGAAACACCTCGCCACCAAGATCGGCAGCGCTCAGTATGATGACAGTTACCTTGGTAACCACACAGCACACACACACACACACACACACACAGCCGAAGTGACAGCGAGTGGTGATGATGACGGGCCCAAGCATCTTCGGGGTGTGCTGCTGGTCGCGTCATGCTCGCCTAATTCGTATCTATCATTGTACGTTCAAATTATTATCCGGTCTGTCAGAACAATTTGTGTTTTCTGTATCTGTTTGTGTTCACAGGATACTCTGGTGACTGTTGGAGACTTTACACGATTGATGGAAAAGGAAGGTTAAATATAAACATATGTAGATTATTTTACCACCACATATCAGAACCTGCCTTACAAGCAGATCAATAATCTGAGCACCGATTAGATTTTACATACAGAAAATATTATTACATTAACTGTAGAGCTTGCACGTCAGTTCGATCATTGATACTGTGATATTTATTGATTAGTGTGACAATGAATCATTTTTGCAGCTTTCTATCAAGAAATGGATGAGGGCCTTTATGCCTTTATTTGACAGGGATAGCTTGGAGAGGGGAGAGAGAAAGGGCAGAGAGAGAGAAAGGGGGGCAGAGGAGAGAGGGACGACATGCAGCAAAGGGCCGCAGTTCGGACTCGAACCCGGCCGCTGCGTATATGGGTCGCCATGCTTACCAACTGAGCTAACCAAGCGCCCCGAAATATTGATTTTTAAAGTTCTGATTATTATTTATTATCTAAACTGGAAGTGTAATCAGTAAAAAAATAATAATAAACAAACGTCCTGCAGTTATTGAGTTCACTGTTCAGTGATCAGTTATTGAACTGATAATATGAATTAAGCTGCACTGGGCATTGCCACCTTTTTGCCATTTCAGAGAGCAAACAAAAAACATTTGATAGATCAATGGATGATGAAGAGTGTTAGTCAGATGTTCCACGTTGGTTGTCTTTCCAACATAGATTAGCTTAGCATATAGCATATCGATATATATCTAAGTACAGAAAAGGAGGAAGTTGACCGAGACTTGCTCAACTGTGACTGGAGCACAGAGCAGAAAGGGGCGGGGCTTAGGAAGGGTTAATTATCCATTCGACCCTGTTGGAAACCCTGAGGCTGGAGGAGTCCTGTATTATCGCAGACGAACGAAGGGAACATGGCTGACCAAACCAACCACACAGACACACACTCACCCTGCCAGTAGAAGCTGCCAGGTCCTCCCACCACCACTTTGTTGTTCTTCTGAAACCACAAGAACAAAAGTAAGGTCAGCTGGGTCACCTGCTGCTCCTGCTGTGTTTAAAATGAAGGTATTTACTGTGCTACCTTTATGTTTTAGTAGAGCTGAACTAAGATGGTGGTTAAACCTGAGGAACATCAGCCTCTTAACACTGTTAATGTGAGCACATTAGCATGTTGACCGTAGCATGAATGCAGCCGTGATAGCACTGAGTCTCTCTGTGTATTTCTGAACTCTGACGAGAGACAGGCTAGATGTTTCCCTGCTTCCAATCTTTATGCTAAGCTATAAGTGTGCATTTCATAACCACTAGCGTCCACTTCAAAACAATGAACAATCATTCATCTTTATGTGTATCTATATCTGCTACACTGGATTAGTTGTAGGCAATGTGAGTAAAATGTGATCCCAGACTCTGACACTGCTGCAGCTTCTGAATTAAAGCCTGTATAAATAATGACGTGATGAGATGTGACAGTCGTTTTGGGTTAGTTGTGGTGAGCTACCTTAAGGAAGTCGGCACTGAAGCCGGCCTGGCAGAAGCCCTGCCCCTCTGGTGAGTTCGCATCTGGACAGAGACATAAAAGAGGAGCATTAAATAATGTAAAAGAAGGTAGACAGAAGTCATTCAGCAGGGGAACAGTCTGAGCTTTAAACATATCAACGTTAACCATAAAACTGAAAGAAAACCCCACCTACAGTGACGTCAGTATTAACTGCACTTTCTCTAACGGCCACTAGAGGCTCCAGCAGTGAGTCCGTCTCCATAAGTTCTCATATTAAACTGCACAAATAAATGAGAGAGTCAGGTCTGCCAAGATGGCGACAGCTCTTCAGAAACCTAAGGGTGGCGTCACCGACGGCCATTTATAGTCTATGAAATTAACCAATGACATTTGACCTCTCAGAGGGTAATAGTGGCCACTTTAATGAGCTAAAGGTCCAGAGGGAAGCTAACCCGTAGCTAAGGAGAGTGGGGATGTTGTTGTCTGTTGGTAACAGGAAGAAGATCTGGATCCATGGGTCAGCTTTAATGTGATGTTACTCATAGATGTAGCAGTTGGAGAGTTTCTGTCAGCTGTTCCTCACACATCACAGAAAACGTCAGAGTTAGTTCACATGATTTATTTGGAGAGGAGAGGTATTCTGTCCGTTCAGATCGTGTTTTAATTAATGAAATACTACAGAGAAGCAGCAGCTCAGTGATTCATTGATCTGGCTGGGTGTGTTTCCTCACTGGGGGGGATTTAAAGATTGTCTCTGAGTTATGACGTTGGCTAATTATTGCTTGTTGCAAGATCAACTGTTTTTTCTGGTTACTCATCAGTAACCAGCCCTGATCAGCCCTGATCCAGGAGATAATGTGGATCAGAGCGAGTTGCTTAACCAACACCCACAATCCTTCTGGGTCTGTACTGCATGTTAACTGTAGAACAGCAGACGAGGGAGTCGGTGGAAAGGACGAACCTGATCTGCAGGGCGAGTACTCGACCACTTTGCTGTCTTTCTTCAGGTAACACGTTCCCACCGGCTCTCGCTCAGAGACACCAAAGGTGGACCACTGGTACAGGGGAGCACAGGCCTGGAGAACACACACAATGAGATGCATTTCATTTTCTTTACAGACATATATATATATATATATATATAACCATATCAGAATAAGATGATACAAACCAGTATGATACGATACGGTGAGATAAGATAAGATACGATGCATAGAGAAAAATATGTTATGTATATGTAATGTAATACCTGAAGTGAATTTCCTTGACTATTACTGTTTGATTAATGCTGCACACTGTCACTGTGTGTGTGTGTGTGCTGTGCTGTCTGTGCCCTGTTGTGTGTGTGTGTGTTTTCTTACCAGGATGTGTTCTCCATTAGATCGGACCGAGGCACCGAACCACTGCTTGGACTTAAACTCCATCTGAGCCCCCTCTGCGTTCCTCCTGTTATCTGTAAAGAGAGAGATCACCGTGTGATCCAATCAGAACCTGTGAATGTCACACATTGTTAAATATAATAAATATATAACAATATAACTGAGGATGTGGAAAAGTGTCTCTTCTCTCTCTTGAACAAATTACTTACTTGAGGACACAAATTACTAATTTGAGGGAATACATTTAGTAACTTTAGGGCATAAATTACCACTAATTTAACAGAACTTCTGGTTTCAGTGGACAGTTTTAGTTTCCAGTGATGAAAAAGCTTCAGTTTCAGTTCTTTCTCTACAAGTTGTATTAATGAGTCGAACACACGGTTTAGACAGTTAACTCCTGATGAACAACGGTTGGAAGCCATGCAGCTCATCATTTCACTCTGAAGTTTATCACTGAGGACGTCTATCGCACTCAACACTGCATCCTGTATAACTCTCTAAGAGCTGGATAAGTGTTCTGTATCTGTTTAAGGTTCTTATTGTCTAATGACTGGTGTTTACTTCAAGGTCCGGTTACTTGACATTTTGTACAAAGCACCTTAAAGATCAATACTCTTATCCCAGTTGGTACTGATCGAAAGTTATTTAACTTCTGTCTACCCTTGTTTCTCCTGTTGTTTTATGTCGTCCTGTATACACAGAAATCTCTTCTAGTGTCTCTCCCGATTGGCTGCTACAAAGGAGGCGTGTCCACCGCGGCCCCGACTACCGCCCTCTCAGGAGCTGAGGACCGTGATTGAAGCGGCACTCACTCTGGACCTCCAACAACCGAGTCCACAACTGCCTCATGTGCCTCAACATTCCTGTTTAGAAAGCTGTTGTTAACCCTGTTTGGACATTTTGAGGAACTCGCTTTGACACGTTACAACTAGTTTAGACTTTATCAACAACACTCAACACACTCATTTAGTTGCACGGTGTCTAGACACTAGTGTAGGGTGCTTTTAGTTTTGGTTAGTGTGGTTAGCTAGAGAGGCTTTCTTTCTTTCTTCATTTCAATTTTAGCTCCTTGAGTTCTCTTCTGGTTTTATTTGTTTCTTTAATTTAAACAGCACCCATCTGCCCTGTTTGCTCACCTTTTTCATTCTATATAAGATCTCTAATTTCCTTAAAATAAATAACTGACTTATCATTCAACATCTGGTTATGTTGCTTTCCTGTTCTGATTTTTTGAGCTGGGCTGTACCAACAACAAAACAGCACGAGCTCTGAGTGGCTGCTGGAATAAAAGACAGAACAGAGCGATAAGAAGCAGATAAATATTTGAGTGTGGTCGGGGATGTTGTGTGCAGACAGTGAGGAAATGTTGGGGATTTTCCCGTCAGGTTGGGAAACTCCAGTCCGATTACAAATGTTGGCTGTGGCTGAACTTAAAGTCCTCTGACTCTCTCTGGCTCCACTATTCGGGTACAAAAGGGTTCGTTTCAGATGTTTTATGTCCGATCTGTAATCCAATCTGTAGTCCGATCTGTAGTCTCCATGGCGACAGACTCTTTGTTGTGAATGGAGGACTTTACCCTGGACCAAAGAAATGAGTTTATGTCGACAGTCTACAGCAACGACAGCAGCTCTCTGAGGCTGTAACGCTCATTGTATGAACAAATAATAAGTAATAAATACCTGAGGCCTGAGGGTGGTTTATATGATTATATCTAAAGAGAAACACAAGGGTCGACCTTTCTGAATATTTATTGTTACTCATTATGTCCATAAACCAATACAACGAGAGAGATACCTGTGCTAGGAGGTCTGCCGGATCAATAGTGACACTGGTTTTAATTTCCTGTATGAAACAACTGCTGGGACTCTTCAGTAGGCGGCCATATTGTTTTGGCGCAACGCTGCCCTACAAAGGAAAACTGCAGTAACCACTGTTCTGGTCAAAACTGAGTTCTGACTGAAAATGAGCTTTTAAATGTCTGTTTTATCTTGTGGCAAATGTTCTACGATCAGTCTCGCTCTATTTTAGGGAAAAAGCAATGTAGTAAATGTCAGTAACTCCAGAATCCAACCTGCAGTTAACCTGCATTAAGTGCAGTCACTGCGCTCTCCCTCGCTGTTGTAAAGGGTCTGTGGTCAGTAAAAGGGTCTGTAAAGGGGTCTGTGGTCGCTGTGGAGGGTCTGTAAAGGGTTTGTAAAGGGTCTGTGGAGGGTCTGTAAAAGGGTCCTTGTAAAGGTCTGTGGAGGGTCTTGTAAAGGGTCTGTAAAGGGTCTGGTGGAGGGTCTGTAAAAGGGTCTGTAAAAGGGTCTGTGGAGGTCTGTGGTCTGTGGAGGTCTGTAAAGGGTCTGTAAAGGGTCTGTGGTCCCTGTGGAGGGTCTGTAAAGGCTGTGGTCGTGGAGGGTCTTGTGAAAGGGTCTGTAAAGGGTCTTGTGTCTGTGGAGGGTCTGAAAGGGTCTGTGGAGGGTCTGTAAAGGGTCTGTTGGTCCTGTGGAGGGTCTGTAAAGGGTCTTGTAAAAGGGTCTGTGGAGGGTCTGTAAAGGGGTCTGTGGTCTGTGAGTCTGTAAAGGCGTAGGGTTTGTAAAGGGTCTGTGGTCTGTGGAGGGGTCTGTAAAGGTCTGGTAAGGGCTGTGGAGGGTCTGTAAAGGCTGTGGCAGTAAAGGGTCCGTAAAGGGTCTGTGGTCTGTGGGAGGGTCTGTAGAAGGGTTTGTAAAGGGTCTGTGGAGGGTCTGTAAGGTCTGTAAAAGGGGTCCTGGGAGGGTCCTGTAAAAGGGCTGGAAAGGGTCTGTGGTCTGTGGAGGGTCTGTAAAGGGTCTGTGGAGGGTCTGTAAAGGGTCTGTGTCTGTGGAGGGTCTGTAAAGGGTCTGTGGAGGGTCTGTAAAGGGTCGTGGTCTGTGGAGGGTCTGTAATAGGGTCCTGTGGTCGGTGGAGGGTCTGTAAAGGGTCTGTGGAGGGTCTGTGGAAGGGTCTGTGGAGGGTCTGTAAAGGGTCTGTGGTCTGAATCTGAAGCTTTCGGTAGCTTGTGCTGTCGAACTGCAGCTGCTGGCAGCGAATGAAGAGCTCCTCCGGGACAGCTGTAACACAGTGCTCCCTCTCTCAACAACCGGTCGTCAGAAAGAGGTGTGGCCCCGAGAGCTCCAAATCAGAACAGAGGAGCTGAAGGACAGAGGACAGAGGAGGACAGAGGACAGAGGAGGACAGAGGACGGACAGAGCAGGACAGAGGACAGAGGGAAGACAGAGGAACAGAAGGAGGAACAGAGGACAGAGGAACAGAGGAGGACAGAGACAGAGGAGGACAGAGGACAGAGGAGGAACAGGAGGAGGACAGAAGGAAGAGGAGGACAGAGGACAGAGGAAAGAGAGGAGACAAGAGGACAGAGGAGACAGCAGGACAGAGGAGGACAGAGGAGGACCAGAGACGAGGAGGACAGAGGACAAGAGGAGGGAAGAGAGACAGAGGACAGAGGAGGACAGAGGACAGAAGAAAGAGGAGGAGTCAGAGGAGAGAGAGAAGAAAAGAGGAGAGAGGACAGAGGAACAGAAGAATGAGCAGGAAGGACAGAGGACAGAGGAGGACAGAGGACAGAGGACAAGGAGGACAGAGGAAAGACCAGAGGACAGAGGACAGAGGAGGACAGAGGACAGAAGGAGGGGACAGAGGACAGAGGACAAGAAGAAAGAGGAGGACAGAGGACAGAAAAAGAGGAGAGAGGACAGGGAGGACAGACGAAGAGAGGACAGAGAGAGAGGACAGAGACAGAGGACAGAGAGATAGGAGGGGACAGAGGACAGAGGAGAGAGGACCAGAGAAGAGAGGACAGAAGGACAGAGGAGAAGAGGAAGAGGAAAGAGAGGAGAGAGGAGAGAGGGACAGGGAGAGAGGACAGAGGACAAGGAGAAACATAAAGCCTTTCGTCTGTTTTGTAAACTAAAGTTGTGGATAAAATTAAAAAGAACAAGGGAAACAAGCTTATGTTAGCAAGCAGCTCAGGCTCTGTCTGTCTGTCTCGTCTGTCTCTCTGTCTGTCTCTCTGTTTTTCCCCCCCTTCCTCTCCTGTCTGGTCTCTCCTGTAAATGTCTCTCTGTCCTCCTCTGTCTCCTCTCTCCTGTCTCTCTCTCTGTTGTCTCTCTGTCGTCTCTGCTCTGCTGTCCTCTGCCTGTCTGTCTGTCTGCCTGCCGTGTCTCTCTGTCTGGGCTTGTTCCTCTCTCTCTCTCTGCTCCTCTCTCCTGTCTCTCTCTGTCCTCCTTCTGTCTCTCCTCTATTCTCTTCTCTCATCCTCTCTGTCTGTCTCTCTCCCTCTCTGTCTGTCTGTCTGTCTGTCTTCTCTCTCTCTTGTCTGTCTGTCTCTTCTCTCTGTCCTCTCTCTTCTGTCTCTCTGTCTCTCTCTCTCCTGGTCTCTCTGTCTCATCTCTGTCTGTCTCTCTCTCTCATCCTCTCTCCTCTCCTCTCTCGTCTGTCTGTCTGTCTCTCTCTGTCGTGTCTGTCTCTCTCTGTCTGTCTGCTCTCTCTGTCTGTCTGTCTCTCTCTGTCTCTCTCGTCTCTGTCTGTAATTCATGACCAGTAATTGGCCTCTACTTGACGCAAGAGCTGTTGGATCATGTTAAAAGTTTAACATATATTGATCAGACCCCAGAGCTACAGACAGACAATATATAATTATATAATTATTTTATATATTATTATTATATATTAATTATTATATATTATTATATATTATTTATGAAATATAAGGAATATATAAGATATATATTATTAATAAATTATAATAATTATATAATATTATTATTATATTCATTATAAATTATAATATATAATATATAATTATATAAATATAATATATAATTTTAATATATATTATTATATATTATTATAAATTATTAATAATATATACTTTATCTATATATTATTTAATAATTTATAAATAATAAATATATAATAATATTATAGTTATTATAATTTATAATAATATATAATAATAATATAAATAATATATTGATACAGATCGTTGTAACCTGATAGTAACTGAGATTTAAAGGGACAGCAGACTTTACACCTTCCTCTTCCGTCCTCTCCTGGCGGCTCTTGTACCTCTGGCTGTCCTGCGGGTTTGAAGAAGTCACCGAGAAGCCGAAGTACCCCCCTGAGAGCCGGAGTACACGGAGGGGGGTTGTCGGCGTCCAGGTTGAAGGAGCGCCGCGGTGGACGAGCAAGAACCAGGACGAGCAGCCCGAGAGCCGAGCGTCGTCCTGCCATGTTCGGCCGAAGGAAGAGTCTGAGGAAGAGTCTGAGGAAGAGTGCTGAGGAAGAGTCCTGAGGAGAAGCGGAGCTAGCCTGTGGTCGGTCCCCACCCCAAGCCGTCGCCTTAGAACTGGTTCAAAGTTCCCGCTAAACACGGGTTCCGTCACATAACCGCAAACACAGCACGTCCTCCCGATATAACCGCTAAACAAAGGCAGTTCCGGGTTCTACCGGATGCCGTTAGGAACCGGAGCGGGGTCGGGGTTCTGTCCGGTTCTGTCCGGTTCTGTCCGGCGGTTTCGTTTAGCGCTGCGTTAGCCGATGGAAGCAGCCAGAAAACACGGAACAGTTCCCGGGAGAAGGCCGTGTGTGGTGGTGTGTGTGTGTGTGTGTGTGTGCTGAATCATACGGTCAGCAGACACGCAAAGTCCGGTTCAGGCCGTTTCAAAACAAAAGCATCCCCTGTCTGGTCTACTGGAGGGGCAGGTTTTAGTCCCTGAGAGAGTCGAGTCCTCCAACTGTATGCTCCTCTCTGTCTGTCTGTCTCACCCTGTCTGTCGTCTGCCTGTCTGTCTGTCTGTCCTGTCTGTCCTGTCTTGTCAGTCTGTCT